AAGAAACATTTCATCACTGAAAGGGTGGTCAGGCATTGGATCAGGCTGCCCAGGGAAGTGGTGGAATGCATGGATGTTGCAACTGGGGACATGGTTTATTGGTGACACAGCAGTGCTAGGTTAATGGTTCAACTTGATGATCTTAGAGGCCTGTTGTAACCTTAATTATTCTATTCCATGATTTTTTTTCCTAATCAATTTTGTTTTCATTGTACTGGAAAAAAAGAAAGGTGCACCTACAATGGCATTCTGGTCTGCAACTGATTATAACAAAACACTCTCTTAAAATACTAAAACAACAACTAAAAGAAGTGTCAGGACCCAGTGTACCAAAAATTCACTTTACAGGTCTGCCAAGAAAATATATCCAGACTTTAACTCTTTAACTAGATCCCAAGGCCTGTACAACTCCATAGTTCTTAATTGCTCAAGAAGACTTTCCTGTAGAGGAACATCTTCTATTTTCCAAGAGAAGGTTGGAAGCCAAGAAGTTTTTGCTCTATAGCTTATCAGACATTACCATTTTCTTCCAGAACCTAATGAAATACAGAGAAAACAAATGTAAGGGTGCACATGCAAATCTTGCTAAGTCAAAAATACTTAATTTCTTCCAATTTTGGGGCTTCAGTGGGCTGGCAGCATATAAAATTTAAAGCTTTATCCCAGTCTAATACAAACCTATTTCTTGTTCTCATCTACAGAAGTGAGGGGACTGCCAGGAGCCATTTAGCAGCAGGGCTTTGAGGGCTGCTCTCTCTCTCTCCTATGAGAAGCAACATACTCAGAAAAGCACTTCCAGTTACAGGAGTGGAAGGTCAAGACCAACAAGGAAGCTTTGATCAAAAGTTTTTTGCCTTTTGATCATGTTATGCAGAAGAAAACCCCAAGCACAATCTCCAGGGTGCTTTTTGGCCTTGTGGTGTGAAACCCTACTGATGAAAAATTGCTGCAGTGTCAGCAAGGATATGAGCCAAGTGGTTTGGTGACTTAAATGGAGTCATGACTTCAGTTGTATGAGTAAGAATGATGGCCCCATTACAGTAAAGTACTCAAATACACACTTTGTTTGAAATACCTGTAGTACTGATACACAAGTTAAGGTTTTACTTAAGGACTTTGCCCAATTACAGAGGCACTTTGAAAAAAGAAACCAAAACCACCTGCACCAGGTCTGGAAATAACTTTTACAATGTTTTTGAAAGTGACAATATGTTGAAAATAAAATTCACCAAGAATTTTAGAGCCTGGGGATACTCTCAGAGAAATGCAATTGGAACATCTTGAAAATGGCTAATAACTTTGACATGCGTTTCAGTTTCTATTGAAAACTTCTGAGGAAGTCTGGGTTTAAAGACTGTAGGTTATAAAGAGCCATTATAGTTTTTACTAATGAAATTATTAAAATATGCCTCTTAGCTTAGCCTGAGCTTGCCATCATTGATTAAACTCTGGATACTAGTGAAGGATAGATAAGAAGGTGGGAAAAGCTGGTAGCCTGGGGTTGTGGTCCTAATTGCATGCTTACACTCACAATTCTGTAGCTTTTAACTTGATGACATTTTAAATGGAGTGATTAATCGGCCTTTACTTTGTTATTTGCTATGTACACATTTAACGCTGCGGGCCAGATAAACTAGCCAACATAAATTAACCACCTTATTGGCAGGTTTATACCACCAGAGCATCTGGTCCTCCCTGAATTAATTTGTACTGTAGACAGGAACCAAGTGCAAGTCTTCTTTTAAATTCAAGTTAAAAAAATGAATATTCATATTTTTCACTTGACTTAACTTTCCGTCTAGTTGTGTTTTTCTTAAACAGATTCTCCAAATCCAAAGTGACACAAAGCATGGGACTTACCTCTGGGAGTCCTGTTTACTAAACCCTTCTCACAGATCAGCACTCGCCGGTGGGCACGATGGAGATTTGCTTGGCAGACTGGTGAGTTTTCAGTTAGGACACCTGCAGGATCTGGGTTTGTGCAGCAGCTAAAGCAGTTTGCCATTTCTTGGCCTGCCAAGTCCTTTCAAAGAAGTGGCACACAGGAAATAATGCTCTACAGTTATGCAAAATTCATTTCTCTAGACTCTGAGGCATTAATTCATTATCATACTGCATTGCACTGAGGTCAGAGAGGGAACAGGTCAAGTGAGAAAGAAAAACAGAATAGAGTCACTGGTTTTTAAGTGAGATTTAAGGTCAAATATGAAAACCAGAAATAGCACCCCCAATTTCTGTCTCTGAAGGACTCATATGGGCATCAGAGAAATACAGCCACGTGACGTTACCAATCTTCCATTAACATGTCCAGCAACACTAAACTCCTGTTACTCACCTCACCACAGGAACCCAGCAAGCATCCAAGCTCCACTTTATGATTTGGAAAGCACAAGCAAAGCCCAATGGTGGGGTGAAGAGGGAAGATAGCCTCCTGGTCAGGGGGATGATATGTGCACAGAAGGGCCCTGGGAGATGCAATACAGGCACTGGGCACAGCAAGGATCACAGGCCCTGTCAGTGATGAAGCACAGGTGAAGTTACCACTTCAGTGCACAAGTGCATGAAAATGGCTGGGACACGGTGAAAAAATTAGTTTGGAAATCACCAGGTTTGATTGGAATGCTTTGCTGCCCAGTTGAAGGTACGAAGATACCTAAGTTAGATAGAGTCAGACATATCCAAAGGCAATAAAGCTTACCCAGCTGATAGTATGGCTCAGTTGGTTTAGAAATTTTACCCTAATTTCTGTTTTCCCTGAAATGCATCAAAATAACAAAGATTTAAATGATCAATTTTTATTTTTTTTAAAATTGGAGATTCTTATTGTAGCAGGCTATGTTTAGTTATGGAACACAATTATCTTTATACATCATCATAGAATCTACCTGTGTTGCAAGGGACCTTAAAGATCATGTAGTTCCAACCCCCTGCCATGGGCAGGGACAGCTCCCACTAGAGCAGGTTGCTCAGAGCCCCATTCAGCGCAGCCTTGAACACTTCCAGGGATGGGGAGTGCACAGCCTCTCTGGACACTGTGCCAGTGCCTCACAACCCTTATAGTCCAGAATTTCTTCCAAATATCTAAAGCTTCCCTCCTTCAGCTTAAGGCCATTCTCCCATTCCTGCCTGCCCTTGTGCAAAGTCCCTCTCCAGCCTTCCTGCAGGCCTCCTGTAGGTAGTGGAAGGAACTCTAAGAGATCCCCCCAGAGCATCTCTTCTCCAGGCCACCAAATCTGTGAGGCATGATTTGCCTTCAGTGAAACCATGTTGGCTGTCACCAATCACCTTATTATTTACCACATGCACAGCTTCCAAGAGAATCAAGTCCCTCTCCAGCCTTCCTGCAGGCCTCCTGTAGGTAGTGGAAGGAACTCTAAGAGATCCCCCCAGAGCATCTCTTCTCCAGGCCACCAAATCTGTGAGGCATGATTTGCCTTCAGTGAAACCATGTTGGCTGTCACCAATCACCTTATTATTTACCACATGCACAGCTTCCAAGAGAATCAGCTCCATGACCTTGCCATGAGGTGAGGTGAGACTGACTGTGGTTCCCTGGGTCTTCCTTATTTCTCTTTTTAAAAATGGAGCTTATGTTTCCCCTTTTCCAGTCACTGGACTGCCATGACTACTCAAATATGATGGGTAGTGGTTTAGCTGCTTCCTCAGCCAGGTCCCTCAGGACCATGGATGTATTATATTAAATGCAAAACATTACTGTTCCTACAATTTAGGTAATGAAATAAAAATTTCACCAGTGTTGAAATTTGTTGTTGTTCAGGTTTTAATAATAATTTTCTAAAACTTGAAATAGTTTGATTACCAAGACCTACCAGTGGTCAGTGATGGCAACTCAGAAATAATGCTCTAAACAAATAGCACATGAAATTTCCTTTCATTATGCATTTTAATAACTGGAAGTCATTCAATTCTGATTTTTATACAACAAATTATACATTAACATGTACACATACTCAATTCCAGTCACAGTGTATACATATTTTTGGATCTGCAGCAATATGAGTTCTACTTGTATATACATGTGCAAGTCTGAACGAGTCCTGAGTAATTTTAAAGTACTATTAGTCAAATCCTGTAAATTTTAACTGATGCAAATAAAACTCAGGTTTTACAGCTATTGTGAAGAAGCTATTTTAAAAAAAATATATAGGGCTTTGCATTAGCTTTATGCATAGCTATGAGCTCTGTAGAGTGCAGTTTCTACTCACAGTCTTGAGTAATTAGAAAATATGAAAGGATGCTGACTGCATTCTCTGGTAGCTATTGCTTCCTCTGCTTCTTCATTAATGGTGAGTGGTTCATTCTGCCTCAAAACAACCAAGTGTGGAAGACTTTGACAGGGTTTAAATTATATTCTTTCTGCTGCATATATTTTTGTAAACATTCAAGTTACCCATGCCCTTTAATTCTTCTGAAGAAAACTATACAATTATACAGTCAAACAGTTAAAATGTGTGTCTGGGAGGGAAAAAAGAAACAACAGTGGAGTATGAGCGTTACCTTAAACACAACAGTATGCTACAGAGAAACAAAAGAGGAACTGTTCTTTAAGGAACAGCTTGGACAGAAACCAGAAGATTGCTCAGAAACCCTCTGTCAGCATGACACACTGCCACAGTAAACATGAGATGCTCTCAAACCACCAGAACAAATTGTCTGAGCAAATGGGAAGGATGCGCCCCTGCCAAGGAGAGGATCCAAACTCATCACGAGAGTCAGAATCTCTGTACAGTATTAACAGAACAACTTACACAAAAATGTCTGTATACCCCATGCCAGGAAAATGCAGGCACTAATATGAGAGCTGGTAAAGGACGCAGGCTACTGTTGCGGCGTAGCTGCCTCTAATTGGTGTTATTTGGATGCAACCTCTCAGGTATGGAGGGAGATACTCCTTTTTCTCCCCTCATTCCTCTCACACCAGAAAATTGAAGGCACCACTCCAACTGTACTCCTCCAGCATAAGGATCTTGGCCCAAAAGTTAGCTGGTCCCATGGCTGCTATAGTCAAAAACACCTTTCCTGAAGAATGGTGAGAATTCGCAGATGGTGTATTTTGATAGAGTTAGCCCCACTTTATCAATGTGCAGTGGAGATGATGGAGATTTCAGCATTGCAGAGAAAAAGCTCCTGAGGTATTTCTGTGGAATGAAATGCAAAAGGTTGTAAGGTTTATTTGGTCAAATTGATTACAACTACTTTGAAGAATTAAATGAAGAGTATTATATTTAAAAAAGACACAAGATCTCCACAGGCTGTGAATAGTCCTTTTAATAACCATCATCATTTAAATCCATTCATAAAACAGGTGAAATGTCTGCATTAAGCTCAAGAAAAGACACAAGATCTCCATGGGCTGTGAATAGTCCTTTTAATAACCATCATCATTTAAATCCATTCATAAAACAGGCGAAATGTCTGTATTAAGCTCAAAAAAAGCAGAAAAGCAGTATTTTCCACTTTCTCCTCTGCCCAGCTTAGTAACTCTTTTATTCTGTGCTTGTGTGATCTTTCTGGTTTATTCTGCAGTCATATAATGCTTTCTGCTAATCATGACCTGCTAATACTGTCGTCTAGCATTACCAAACACTATAGCAGGTGCAAATCTCAAATCCATTCTGCAGGAATTTCACTACATATGGACACAAAAGGACTTCAAAAATCTTTCTCTCATGAAGCCTCCATAATCCTTGCATTGAAAGGGATTTGTTTTGATCAAGGCCATCTGCAAAAAGATTGTCTGACTTCCACGTTATCTCAGAACCTACCAGCATATTTTCACTGAGCTGCCCTCAAAATTTCTTTTTTTTTCTGATGTCTTACACATGAGAAGCATGTGTAAGATGCTTCCTTCCCTTCCCAAAAATTAATACCCACCAACCACCATGCAACTTGCTGTCATTTGTACCTAGAGAAATTGTGGGATATGTACATTAACACAGTTAGTTTTCACAAACCTGATGAAGCTTCCTTCACATGTGGGTTCATTTAGCATGATTTAACAAGTCTTATTTATAACTTTTGAATGAAACACTGTAGGTGACATGCTTGATCAGACAGGTGCTCAGAATGCACCTGATGTCACCCGAATAGCTGCAAGGGAAATCTCATCTGGAGCACAGGGATAAATTCCTTTCCTCTGCTACAGACTGACCACAAAAAGAGGTAACTCATGAAATTATTCACCAGTCTTGGATTCAGTGGGAAATACATCTGCCAAGACAGAGAAGCACACTCTCCTTTGAAAAACCCAAGGTTTAGTTATTTGAATGCAGCAGCTTTGGGGTTATGGAAGTGGTTTGTTCAGGAAATAGTCCTAATTATTCACTTGTTTCTCAAGGAGAATCCCTCCAGACTATAGCAACATGTTATCTATTTAAGTATCTTGGAAACCAGCTGTATTAATATCACAGAAAGCAGGAAAAAAAGGCAAACAAAAAAACCTCAGCTGGGACAAAATTTATTCTCCTGGCAGGAATGGTGTATTTTCCTTTTTATTCAGATCTGACACAGGTTGTATTAATGTTCATGAAAAAAAAATTCATTACAAAAATGCCTTCAAGATGAATTCCAATAGACTAAGAGGTAATTTAAAGTGAGCAACAGATGTCATATCAACATTTGTCATAATTAGTTCTCAAAGTATGGTTCTTTAAAAAAGTCCCAAACCAGTAATGCCTAAAGGATAAATATGGTAGAAAATCAAATGTAAAACATGGCATCCTGTTAAGAGTTTTAGCACTGTGCTGAAAAGTTACTGCAGTAATTCCAGTTTATGGCTACAAAAGGCTCAAAGGTACCAAAATATCTCACTGGACACATTACAAGACCTTTTGCATTCCCCTTGGTATGTATGGCCAGATAATTGACTGTCATGCCTTTCCTGTAGAGCCATTACTCATTGTTTTGGCATGATAGGTCTAATGGCAGTATAAAAAAATCCCTTTGCTCTAAGCATACACTTATGTGACAGGAAAACACTAGGAACAGCAGGTACTTTTCCCAGATCTGTGCACCAGAGTTGCTCAGTGAATATCACAGATTCTTTGAACACAAAAAAGATCCTTGGGAAAATGGCAACAAGCAGACCCTACCAGATAACGATGGAATTAATTTTGTATGAAAGTTTCCTGCCATATGGCTTGGCATTATGTGCTCTTCAACAACCACCTCTGAGCAAATTAGCCCTCTTACAAACCCCAGATCTGCATTTGCCCTTGTTTGCAATGCTGATGTGTTAAGATAGGCCAGAGCTGGTGTGCCCTTGACACAAAGAAGCTGTTGCTTCAATGAAATGCAGGCTGCTCTGCCCAAAGATGCTGGCTAGGAGTGATATCCTGTAGTGCAGGAAACAGTGACGGATGGCAGGAGTGTTCACCCACACCACAAGCATATGCCTTGATGAAAGAGCTGTGGCTAGGCAGAATCGTGGAAGCTCTGTCCTCTTGGCTGCAATGTGGATGACAACGTGGAAGAAAGTGACAGGAGAAAAGGAGGAGTGTTCCTTAATGATGGAATGATGCTTCCCAAATCCACATGGGCTAGGGAGGGGAGGAGGGTCACAGCAAGGAGAGGGGCTTGAGCACATCAACACCAAGGGCCAGAAATGATGGAAAGACAACTTTCTTAGAGATCTAGAAGGGATTCAGCATGGACATTGTTGCAACCCAGGAGGCCACTGCAAGTGGCTGGAGTGGGGGCAAGGCTAGATGAAAGGATCTCCTCAGGCAGGACTCAGTGGGGCAGGCAGAGAGCTGTTAGCAAAGCTTTTATATTATATCCATTTCCAGCAGCAGCAACAATTTTTCTCTGTTTACAGAACAGTGTTATTTGTGCTGACTTAAAACTAGGTGGAAAGCACTCTGGTATCTTTTGATGTGTCCCTTTAAAAGAATTTTCTTAGCAGAGACTGGCAAGCTCAAGATGCCTTCACAGAAACATGTCCAAATTTTATACAAATTAGTGCTCTGACTGCCTACCAATAGCAGCTAAATCATTGTCCCTAGTATGTAAAGTGCTATGTTGTAGCAATCGCACTTCAGTTAGGTTTGCATGATTATCTTGGAAACAAAAAACTAGTTAACTGCTAAAATATTCCAAAAGGCTTGGTTTTATTACTCATTTTCATTTGTTAGTCTTTCAAAACTCTGCCCATTTGTTCTGGATTATTTAGCCTGGTAATCAGTGTTCTTCCAAACGCACTTTGGAGTTTCATTTGACTAATAGTGTTAGACCAGCTATGCTGCTGGTTTGCTGGAAAATATCCTAATGATACATTTGTAAACGTCTCAGTGTGAGGGCACAGGACCCTGGCACATAAAAGGGATGTAAAACAGGCAATTTACACATCAGTTGTGTTGGTTGCTCAGGCTAAACACACACTCAGGAACATCAGTTTAGAGAATGGAAATACTCTTCTCATGTACAAAACAAAGATAGAAAACCAGGTTAAAAAAATAATCTAAAATAGGAAAAGCAGTGGGTTGTGCCCTCTCAAAAGGCAATACAACTTTCATGCTCTTTAACTTAAGATTTACGACAGCTGTACCTGAAAGTTTTAACCTTGCAAATGAAATGAAACTGGAAAAAGTGCTATGAGGCCCAAAGGTTTTTTCTTTCCTCACTAGTCTGAGTAGCTTTCCCTCCCTTTTAATTATGTGAACAGCAAAATGGCAACCATTTTAAAAGCTTATTAAAAATCATTTTAATAGGGTTCACCTTTTTAGCATTAGGCCAGTCTTCATCTCGTGCTCAATCCATCAGCACAGCAAAGTCATTCTAAATGATTTTTGCACTACTTCATGGTGTAGGGACCTCACAATTTGATACATTTTTATATAAAGCCATAACTTAATTTAATGTTATTAAAGTTATTACAATCAGAAAGCTTTCTTAAATGTGAAAGTCTTCTTATCATCCCTTCAATTGTGGCATACTAAAGAGGAATTCAGTTCAATGACATTGTTCTCCTAATCCATTACAAACAGTGATAGCCTCAGAGACCAGTAGCAGAGCTTAGCAAGAACTGGATTTTTTCATTAAAATTGGGTGTGTTTAAAAACTCATCAATTCTGGTAATTCCAAAAAGAGAAAAACTTTGAACTTCTGCTTTCATACTGCTATTTCTAGCAATTTCCTCGAGAAACTCAGTGTTTAAAACTCTTTAAAAGTCACATTTTACAATTAGCACTAGAAATACCACCTGCTAATATATGCCAGAACTGAAAGTACCACAAACTTTAATAAGATAAACCTTACAAGGCTTTGGGGATTTTTTGAAACAAGAGCTTCTCTTCTTTGAAACAATACCACATTTTCATCACCTACACATCAATGTGACAGTCAAAAACTTTACCACAAGGTCACAGAAGGTCACCAGTGGCAGAGACAGGACTAATTAACTCGCTCATGTAACTTCTAGCATTGGTTCCTCTCTCCCTTTAATATAGATGCTAGTTCCTCTCAGCACCAATCACATAATTATTCTGTTGACTAGTGTTAAGCGATGCAGACCTTAAATCAGACCTTCCTTTGAATTATTCATAGAGCACAGCATAAGCAGGTATCACAGCTGTTTTCTATAGGATAAGAATCTGAGTACAAAAAAAAACCCCACCAGACAGATTGAAGCACATTCCCTGACTCTGAAAAACCACATTATGCTGCAATCAGGTACTTGCAAAGTCAGATCTTCCAGAGGAAGACCCTAGCCCAAAACAAGCAGACAGGCACATACTTCACTTCCAATCTGTGATCACAAAAATAAGGATTTCTTTAGAAGACAAGGCATGCAAAGGGAGCCTGCTGGAATGCAGAAATGGGAATGCATCTCCTCCTGCCTTTGTCTCCTAGAAAGAAAATGTTGGGCACATGTAAAGGAAAATGAACATTTGGGGATCCTTCCCCAAATTAACCAACTTTCTCTATTCTGGATCTTTCCGTTGATGTATCGAAGTGAAAAAAAATTCCTTCCAGGGTGGTTTTTCAAACATGAAACACTGCAGAAATGCCAGCTATTGTCACTAACTACAGCCTACAGACAGAAACAAAGCTGGGCTGAAATGGCAATGACAGGCAATGGTGTCCCACAGAGACTCAGGCTGGCAAAGGGCCCTGTCTGGGGAGATGCTTTATACAGAAC